AACGTGCGCAGAACCACTAACCCCACGATAAAATGGCAAAAGCGAAGGCGGAATCCAGGCTAGCGATACGGCGGTGACGGGAATGCGCGCAAACGGCCCAGTAATGGACGACGGCAGTGCCGTGGAGACAGCTCGTTAGTTCCGATTCGCCAATTGTGCGTTTCAGTCCCGGCCGGCTTGCGTTGAAGCGGTACAAGCGAAGTACAGGCGACGGCAGGATCCAACGGTGCGTCAAAGGGCAATAGGGCAGGCCGTCCAGGTCGACGGTACGATGGAGTTGCACAGAAGATGCTGTCCTGAGCTGAATGGGGCGACGGTCACATAGGGGCCGACAACAAAGAGGCTGAGGCTCTCCTTGCGTCCTGCGGTTGGCGTCTTGAGTTGGGCGGAGACGGCCGATTGGGTGCAAGATGGAAGGAGGCTTCGGAAGCTTTTGGCGATTTCAGCGCTAGGCCGAGTAGACGGGCGTCACGTGCCGGGTCAACAGTACTAGCAGCCCGCACCCGTTGCAACCTCAACGTCTCTACCTACGCACAGTCGCAAAGCCCACGCCGACCTGGATACCGTGGATTCTGAATCGCCTGCGCGTAGACCGTTCTGTTGCGATGCCTCCCTCTGCCATGGCGATGCCGGGGCAACACATGAACGGCGCTCCTTCGAACATCTCGGCTGGCGTAGATCCCACTTACTGGGGCGGCCACCAGGACTTCTCACCGGACTCCACATCGCCATTGTCGCCCTCGCTAGGGCTCCATCTGTCGCCGACACAGAGTATCACCACCCAGAGCAGCATCAATGGCGGGACTCCCCCGGCGCAAACGCCCCAGTCGGACAGCGGCGGCAGCAAAGGGACCGGCCAGAAGAACAGCCAGAAGCAGTCAAATAACGACCAAACCAGGGCCTCGGTCGCTGTCGCGTGCGTCCCATGTCGCAGTAGACACTTGAAATGCGATGGTGGTGTGCGATGTTCCCGATGTAGGACCGACAACGTGGAATGTACCTACATCAAGTCGCGAAGAGGCTGGAAGGGCAAGCGGAAAACCAAGGACGACACGGGCGCGTCCACGACCCCGAATGGTGGGTATATTGCAACGACCACAATATCAACCCAAAATCTAACGTGATTAGGAATATCTGCATCTGAAGTCCAAGCCAGCAATGGCCACATCTCGTCACCTGAGTACTCGTACAACGGCGATACTGGCATGAACCAGCTCAGCCCAACTCACGGTCTTGGCGTCCGACCTGTAGCCCCACCAGTTGCTCAACTCAACCTAAATGGATCCGCGCGTCTGAACCGGTTTGGCCACTTGGGACCCGAGACGGCTGTGCAGGCCTTCTACCACTTCTTCTACAACTCACATCCATTCTGCCTTCCGGAACGGCGGTTAGTGGAACTCTTCAAGGAACGACATGCCCCACTCTTGGAACATGCCGTGCATTTCATCGGATCCAGCTACATACCGTCGGTGCCTACGGCCATGTACAAGGAAGCGTTAGACCGTCAGATAGACAGCAACAACTACCCAAGAGATGCGTGGTCGGTCCAAGCCCTGCTCCTCTTCGCCATCGGCCTCCACGCCCACAACGAAGTTCCCCGCGCCGCCCAGATCTTCACCATAGCCCAAAACCTGACGCTGGAGATCGGGCTCAACCGGATGGAATTCGCGCTGATGCATGGAGAAAACGACCCGCAGCTGGAAGAGAGTTGGCGGAGAACGTGGTGGTCCATGTTCACGGCCAACGGCATGATGACAGCCGTCAACCCGGGCGTGCAATTCCGACTGAAAGACGTCGTAACCGACGTGCCACTGCCCTGTGAGAACGTCGAGTACTTTTCAGGTGTAAGTACCCACTCCCCTGACATCAGATCTGACATGTGTCAAATCGGCTTGGCATGTTTCCCTTCTTAGTGCGAACCCGTGCCGCTCTTAGGTACTCGAGATGAGATCATCTGACTGCATGTCATACTCCGATGGGATGGGAGATCGATGCATGTCATACATGTGGGGTGGGGGTCTGCCGATTGCATGACCATCCTCCTGGGACTACAAACACAAAACCTTATACAGATCACTAAACTAACAACCCACAAACAGCAAATACCCTACCCCTCCACCCTCTCCGACTACGACGACTCGGCCTTCCTCCCCCACTTCACAACCTTCTCCTCCTTCACCTACCTCATCGACGCCATCCGCATCTTGGGAAAAGTCTTCGAATGCGCGCGCCTAGACTCCACCTTCGAATACCACGCCGTCGACGTCGTAGACCAATACCTCTGCAACTGGCGTCTGCACCTCCCGGCCTCAAAAACAGACATCGTCTCCAACGACGGCCACATCGACGAAGTGCTCTTCCAGGCACACATGGTAAACGCCGGCAGCACAATAATGCTACACCGCCCGCGCAGCAACCTCGGTTTCGGCCGCGTCGAAGGCGTAAACATATGCGTGCAACCCGGCCAAGTCCTGCTCCCCACGCAAACCCGCGAAATCCACACCGCGAAATGCCTCACGTCCGCTGAAAACATCTCCTCCTTAATCCGTCTGCCCGGACCCCTGCTTTACCACACCCCCTTCTTCACCTGCGTCGTCGTAATGGCGTCCGTCGTGCACCTCTCCTACTGGTCCTTCCTTGTCCCCGACGGCCAGGACGACATCATCAAGCAGAGCATTCGGCTTGACGTCGGCACGCTGCAGCAATACAGCAATACGTGGCCGATTGCGAATGTGGTACTAGGGCAAGTGAGGGGTGTGGCGCACACGCTGTTTAATAGTAAGAAGGCGATGTCAATACATCTTTGGAGCAATTTGCAGCAGGATGATGTTATTAGGGGCGTTATTGAGGAGGGGAGGAGTGTGCCGCAGCAGCAGTATGCGCAGTTGATCGCTCCGTGAGTACTTCCCTTTCTTTTCTACACTTGCTTGCTGTGTTTGGACTCGGGCTAACATTATCGCAGGATGCTGAAATCGTAGACGTACCTTCTCGTCTTTTCGCTTTCGTTTTTGTTTCGCATCGTCCTTGTTTACTTGCGCGTTGTAATCATTTCATGTCTTTGTTGTCTCCGTCGCGCGCGTCAAAAACGGTCGTGTCATGACCATAGCGAGCGAGCGAGCGAGCCTTCTACTTGTCAATTTTTCGGTCGTCGCCTTGATTCGCTATTATGCGACTCTGCTTGTCCGTATTATGAGCATACTGACACCACGCGTCATTTCTTCTATCGTGTCTGGGCGGTGGGCGGCGCATTCCATTGAAAAGTCCGAGCAAGCGGAGTTGGAATATAATGAAGATACGAAATGTGCTGTTGTAGTAGTAGTCGTAACGCCCTTGTGCGTGTTAATAGTAGAATCGAAAAGCTTTCTCCATCACAATTAACACCAGTCTGGTTGATCAGGAACAGTCTATTGTTCATTCGTCGAAACGCCGGCTAGTCCAGCGCTTCCTGTCGGATACTTCCGCCAGTCCTCCTCCGCATGCCCCGTTTTCGCCAAGAATGTCCTCAATTCTCGAGCTGCATATCCGTTGTCCCATTCCACTAAATCTCGTCCATGTCGTATACCCATTAGAGCCCTAGCCGTGGCCTAGAGCAAGCTCATGACCGTATCTACAAATCGGCGTCGTCCTCATCGGGCAGAGGCATCTGGGCGGCGTTCTCCATCTCCTGTCGGTACTGGTCGAGAACGGCCTGGTCGACCTGGACCTCGGGAGGCGCCAGAGCGGGGGCGGCGACAAAGTCGAGAGACTGGTTGCCGACGAGTTTCCGGGCGAGCCAGAGGAAGGGCTTCTCGAAGTTGTAGTTGGACTTGGCGGAGATGTCGTAGTACTGGAGGTTCTTCTTTCGGTGGAAGGTGATGGACTTTGCCTTGACCTTGCGCTCCTTGACGTCGACCTTGTTACCGGTGAGGACGATGGGGATGTTCTCGCAGACACGGACCAAGTCACCTGGGGCTGTTAGCGAATGTGTATCGGGGGGTTGTGGGCGCACGTACGGTGCCAGTTGGGGACGTTCTTGTATGTGATACGCGAGGTGACGTCGAACATGATGATACCGCACTGTCCGTTGATGTAGTATCCATCGCGGAGACCACCAAACTTCTCCTGACCGGCGGTGTCCCAGACGTCGAACTGGATCTGGCCGAGGTTCTGTCGTCTCGTTAGTAGGCGTAGCGCGGGCGGCAGAAGGTCGGATAACGTACTGTGGTGAAGCCGAGGGGGTGGACCTCTACTCCGAGCGTCGCAATATACTTCTTCTCGAACTCTCCAGTCAAATGGCGCTTGACGAAGGTCGTCTGTGGTGGGGCTGTTAGCAACCTGCATCGCAGTCTCAAATTCTCGCAGTCTCGCAGTCGCGCGGCCGTCTCAATAGACGGGCTGCTATCGCGAGAAGCGTCGGAATGGGCATCATACCTTTCCGGTACCACCATCACCGACAAGCACGAGCTTGAAGGTAGGGACTGAGCTTGCGGCAGTCTCGGCCATGGTGTCGGGTGTGTGGCGGGGTGATGTGGTGTGTGAGGGGGGTAGTGGGCAGAGTCTGTTGTCGAAAAGATGTCAGTCGGGGTCGCACAGGGTTATTGAGCAAAGGACGGTGGTGCAGACTCACGGGTGATAAAGAGTGGGGAAAGTAGCGGGCGTGAGGTGGGCAAGAAGAGGTTTTGTCGTGCTGAAGTGTTGGCGCCCCGGGCGGTGTAAATCTCTTGGCGCCTTCCGCAATTTTGACCTCACAGGCAGGCAGGCAGAGGCAGAGGCAGAGGCAGCGTTAGGCAGCTATAGGCTTCTTTGTCTCAACGCCTGGGCAGCCCGGGTTTGGCTTGCACCTTTTTGTAGTCATAGATTGTCATTTACTAGCAATTCCTTGATCTTTTCATCCCAAAGCAAACAACGCCGGGTATCATGCTACGCTTGTTGGCCAAACCGAGTGCGCCACGCGCGCTGCCGCCAGCCTTGCCTGCCACCCATCCAGCTCGACGTATCTCGTGATTTATAATACAAATACACTACATGGGCAGCAAGTGACAGCCCAACAGCCCCCTTCCGCCCCAGTTCCTCCGCGGTGTGAGTTGCATCTCAACTGTCTCTGCCGGGCCGCCCGATGGGTTGGGTCGCAGCGCCTTGACGGTAATGGGAATCTGCACTTGTCAGCCTGCTGCACGCCCGACTGAAGACAGCATCCTGTGCAGCGTGATGCGACGTACTCCTTCGTTCTGCGACACGGCCTCGGCCACGCGCGACAGGTTCTCGTGGTTTGTCCAGTCCACCCAGCCGAACTTGGTTATGGTGTCGTACACCTGTAAGCCGGCCGTCGCTGCCGGGCTGTCTGCGACCACGCTGTTGACCTTTGCAAAGGGCGCTTCGAGTGCGGCAGGCGGTGCGCTCAGCCCTGCCTGGGCGCCGTTGGCCGTCGTCGCGTCGCCCGCCTGCGCTGCCAGCCGCGCGTGGTGCTCGTGGAGGCCCTTCTCGATGCGCGACATGAGGTCCTTGTAGTCATTCTTCAGCCGTATGATGCGCGCGCGCGTGGTTCGGACTGCGACGGTCAGCGACCCTGAGCGACCTCGAAGATGACGCAGGCTCCTTACTCTGGGGGACATCGATATCACTGCGTGGAAAGCCGTCGAGGGTGGTCAGGCCGGTGCTCATGCGGACGCCATGCTACAACAAGACGTCAACTGCTTATCCCGCCCATAGCCTTGATTTGCGTACCGAATCCAGCACCTGCCCTAATGCCTTCAACTCTGTCTCTACTCGGTCCTTCTCGGCCATGAGCTCCTGCAGCGTCAGCTGCTCTTTTGGTATGCCATTGGAGTAGCCTGCGGACGTGGGCCCAGACGAGACGGTTGGCGCGTGTATATCATCCATGGTGTGGAATGTTTGTCGCCGCCGCAGAGTTGAGAGTGCGTAAATGCTTACTACAACTGGAGCTTGGATGTGGGGGTGGGAGCTTGAGGGAGCTTGAACTGTGCGGGGCAAAACCGCCAGGACGGTCGCCTTCCTTTTTCCTCCCTCACTTCTCTACCAAACTTCACTATCCCCAAGACACGCGCGTGACCTCTGTGTGTGCCAGATTAGAAGTATGCTCCAGCTGCTAAGTATGCTCAGTCTTGCAATGGCTCGGCTCGGCTACAGACATACTTTGCCGTCATAGTGAGTCGCGACTACCAAGATTTGGTGAGAGCAACGCGGCCGCCATGTTAGCGGTCCTCGTCGATGGCTCACCACTCGCCCCTAACGAAACTCTGTCCATGGCTCTCGGTAAGCTTGTGTAGACTGCGCTTTACTATAGTACGCGCCGTCTGGACCCTTTCCCTTAGATGCCGCCATTACGCTCTTGAGAACTTTGCGCCTCTGCGCTTTCCTCCCGTCCTAGCCAGCAGTCATATCCAAAATGCCTCAGCCAACTTCCTTATCGCTCTGCAGCTCACTTGTCTCTCCTTAAGCCATCGTCGTTGGATGCAGTAGTATTTATCTCATGCGCTGAAAGCCTTCGTACCCGTCCTATCCTGTGTCGACCGTACGACCACGGACATGGCATATGTGTTGTCGCTCCGGCCTCAGAGCCCACTCAAGCGGTCCTTCAGCGACAATCCATACCTCAACTCCTGCTCCCCTCAGAAAGACACACTACTGCCACCACTGAGCGACATTACTGCTCGCAATGCTTCCGCGTGCTCGTTGTATTCCCTTGGGGCGACTAGGGCAGGCGACTGGTCTCGGAGCAACGAGAACACACCACCACTTACCTCTCAGTCGCTCCTCGATCTCGTGCCTGAGAAAGGAGGCTTCCCATTTAGTACAAGACATGTCATCGAAGAGCCACGCAAGCGGAATTGCGGCCCAGATCGGCCACCGCCATCTTTCTCGAGACTCACAGTCCCGCCGAGGCCGCATGCGAGAGGATATCACAGCTCGCAACAAATCGCGGAACCTTCCTCTGACAGCGACAGCTCGGCTGACGACATGGACATTGACGACCACGACTTTGAAGAGACACATCTGTTCAATCTATACGAAGCCATACACGTGCCATTGCCAGAAGGTCGCTTCACCGATATTGACGGAGATGAGCCGCGCGAAGACTACGAAGAAGCGCCTGCGACTATCTCTGTATCTTCACAACCCTTTCGGCGGTGGATGAGCACTTTGAGGCGTCGACACGCGCACAGATGGAGGGATAACGTCGCTGAAATACCACGGCTATCCTTCGACACCGCTGATGGCATGTCTGTCCTCTCTCGACCGCTGGGAAGACTGTCTGAATCCGTGCGCAGAACATCGGAGTCTATGACATCGTCAATGGGCTATGTGACAGCAATGAAGTCGACTTCGATGACCATCGGCAGCGCGAGCATTGCACCACGCTCAGATGCTGGAGGACCAGGGAAGGTTCGCTTGGGTAACAGAAGCAGCAATTATTCCGAAGCGCGCAGATCACTTGAGAGTCATCGTGGTGCGCTAGGGCCCGTGCTTGATGAGAGCGCGTGGCTTCGATCACTACAGCGTCGCAAGGTTGTTGAGGAGCTGATCTCCTCGGAAGAGAGCTACATTGCAGACCTCAAGGTCTTGATCAACGTATGTTACCTACCACCGGGTTGACTCTACCATTCTAATCCAAGCAGGACTATTTCATGATCCTTACTGCCCTTCCTACTCTGTCAGGCCAGACACGATCATCCATACAGCAGAATATCTCCCAGATTCTACAGCTTCACGAAGACTTGCTCGCCGAACTTCACCAAGTTGTACCTCAGGCAGACTTCACCAGAAGCGCGTACCAAGAGACATATCCCGTGACGAAAGCCAAACACATCCGCTTCCATAGCGCCGACATTGTGCCGGGGCGCTTCGCCGAACACAAGACTGCCAGGAGGCTGAGGCATTCTTTGGAGATTGGACGATCGCCAGACCGCAGACCGCGAGGCCTAGTGACGGACACGCAGACGGCCGGGAACATTGCCAAGATCTTCAACAAACATGTAAGCTATACGCGACTCTTACAATACTCTTCGCTAACAAAATCAGATGAAACGCTTCTTCACATACGAGGAGTATGGCGCGCATTGGACGACCATGTCACAGGATCTCACCACAATGTGCAAAGGACTGCATGGCTGGCAAGAATACGAGCGCGGTGTCGAAGCGCTGCAGAAGGTGGTCGCGTCGGAGAACAACCGAGAGGCAGGTAGCAAGAAGGCGCTCAGCTTCCCAGATCTCTTGATCAAACCAATTCAGAGGGTGTGCAAGTACCCCCTACTGTTCGACGACCTATGCCGCCACACTCCCGTCTACGACGATCCAGAAGCGCATGCCGAGCTCGAAAAAGCTCTTTTTCGGCTGCAAGAGACAATCCGCGAAGTCAACAAGGCAAAAGACGACCCTCAGACCCGGCGACTTATCGAGATTACTTGGCAGCTACAAGATCGACTGGCGTTCTCAGAACAGAAGATTTCTCGAGCTCTTGTCTTTCGCCTTCTCGGGCATGTTCTCCTATGTGGCGCTCTACATGTGACATATCAAACACCCGATCGTATCAAGGGTGCGTACATGGTTTGCGTTTTGTACAAGTCATGCCTTGTACTTGCGACGGCAAGCCGATTTCACACACCGTATACTGTCGTCGCTTCGATCGGGCTTGCCAACGCCAGCATCGAGGAATGCGATAACGGCCGCGGCATACAGTGCCATACTGCTCCACATACGTGGAAATTCGTCTTCGAGCACGGCCATCGCTTACACGAACTCATCTTCAGCGCCTGCACTTCTCACGAAGAGGAGGTTTGGAAAAAGCAACTGCGCGAGCGTATTGTTTATGAGACACACGATTTCGTCGAAGGCCAGTCCACCATGCAGGACATGTATACATCCCTATCGCTAGGCCTCAAGTCTCTTGGGCCTGTCTTCGGTCATGCGAATACTCTAGTACGGCGCATGTCAGTCCATCGAGCGGCGACTCTCGGTGCGAAGACCAACACGAGTCAAGTCATCATCAAGAACACCCAGGCACAAAAGCTACCGGATACGCCCCCGACGTTTTCGCCAAGTATAGTAACTCGATCTCAATCGCACCTCTCCGCAAACCACATCCCTATACTTGCCCCGCGACGAGCTGAGCGCGTACGACTCGAGAGTACATTGGAAGACGTGTGGACAAAAGACATGTTGCCTTTTCCGGGCATGTCAAACCGGAGGATGGAGAACCAAATCAGAGCTTCAGCAAACTCAGTGATGCGAAAGCTAAGCATAGCAAGCATAGCAAGCAATTTCTCGCGTCGCTCGCCCAGTCTTTCCAACACGAGCAACACGCGGTCAGAAGACTCTTTCGGAAGCCGCGTTCATAAGATGTCGAACGGGAACTTGCGAGCTCAATCAGCGACTGATCGAAGGCCGACCCCTGCACTTGTCGACTTCCATTCCGCACCCGCCGCGTTCCTACCTGAAGACTTTGAGGTCGAAGACACGCGACCTTCGAGTAGACGTCGCCGTCTTGCCAATCGAGCGATAGGCGTAGAGCGTCCAACCGACAAACCTCTACAGAGCAAACCAAAGAAGGTTCGACGTCTTTCCACGCATCTGATTAGTCTCCCACGATCAGAATCACGCGCTCGCGTCGCCGAGAGAACCGTCTCCCACGCATCAACAGCAACCACCGTACGCGCACCACCTCCTTGCGCCGAGGTAACCAAAAACATAGAGAACAGGAAACAGCGACGGCAAGAAGAGCCCACTCCCGAATCCCGGCCTGCATCTTCAAACCACTCGACCTCGAACAAGTTTTCGAAGAGCAAGAGTAGGATCTTTAATTTCTTCCGATGATGCAACACACATACCCTGTTGGACCAACATTACACACCACACTGGACACGCATTGGGTGTTCACTAAACGCAACGTACATACTTCCCTTGACGACGTAACGACCACACTATCCTTGCTCCAACAGCAAGTACGAGAACATGAATACCACGACTGAGACGACGGCGACAGCAACGGCAATGACTCCGATAACCAAGGGCCAGTGTAACAAACATAATGATTAATCATGCGATCAGCAGAGCGTTACTGCAAGGTACACCCGCTCTCTCACGATCTGGGCGAAAGCCTGCCTGCCCACGTTGGACGGCGGGTGAAAGTCTGGGGATCGGGATGCACGGCATGACGTCATGCGGCTAGCGGGTTTGGGACACGGACACGTACGTACTGGTACCTGGGCACGCGATCGCATGATGGAGGGGTGGCGTTGGTTTGCAATGGGATAAGGGTATTTGGATAGTAATGATTGAATCATGGTTACATGCTTTGAGTGTGTTTGATGTTTACTCCTCGTGAAGGTTCTACGTTGTTGTTGCTTTCTCAGCCTCATAGCCTCGCGGGATGAGCATAGCAGAGCCGGTACGCAAGACCTGCTACATCCCTGCCATGCCGTTTCAGCCCAAAGAGCCTCAATGCAAAATGCAAAACAAGGCGTGAGAGCTTGCGTGCGCAATTACCATGCCTGATGCCAGGTGAGAGCGTGCAATACCTCCTTGGCAATGACGTAGCCGCCCACCCGGTCAAAGCTCCAGATCACGTAGCTCTAAATAGCCCCTCTAAAGCTTCCCCTCCATTCCCTCACATCACCAAATACCCCATTCCAACTCATCTACACACTTTACTTTACCCTCAAACCACTCAAAGCAACCTCCATATACCCAAACGAACCGAAACCAACGAGTCAATCACACAAAATGGCCCGCGGCAACTCCCCCCAAACCCAAGTCTTCTACAAGGGCAGCTCCGGCGACCAATTCTGCATCTTCGTCGAGAGCGTAGAGGAGCTTCAGAAGTGGAAGGCTGATAGCACGATTCCCATGGTCGACGTTGTTGCGGGTTGGAAGGTGCTTGTTCCTGAACACGGCAAGCAAGGTGTGCTCAACACGGCTAGCAAGCAGCAGCTTGAGAACGAGTTTGGTAAAGATGCCAAGGAGGATGATATCTTCAAGAAGATTCTGCAGGAGGGTAGTGTGCAGAGCTCTGAGGTATGTTCTTCCTACTGTTATCTGAATTGGGATGCAGGTTGCAGACTGTTTACCCCGCGGATGTTGGTGAAGACGGTTGCTAACATGAGACATGAATAGAACTCCGAGCGCATCGGCATCACCAACGAGACCCAGGGCGGACGTCAAGCCCACTAAACGCTTCGTTGCTGCTCCAGCTTTAGCTCCAGCACCAGCGTCGACTTCAGCTCCAGCTTCAGCATCAGCATGAATGACGAACGATTTCTTTTCGGATATGATATCATGATTTAGGAAGAGCGTAGGGTGGGATAGCCAGGCACGTAATACTGCTGGCTTGCAAGGAGGGTTTGGGCATAACGCGGTCTTGCTGGAAAGTAAGGCTGCCTGGCCTGGGCCTGCATCCTGCATTGTTTGATAGGCATCATGAATGAGATGAAAACCTACAATGATTTTGTGCTTGGGGTTGGTGATAATGATGTGGTGTGGTCTATGTGGTGTGATGTGATGTGAGCGCAGCTGTGTATGAGGAGATGCGTAGGTGCTGCTGGTTGATGATCTACAGCCGCACCTTGGTGAACTTGGGCTACTGGCCCCAGAACTATTATGCCTACACATCTGCCAATCAGACTATTGACCCTGCTTAATGAGCTTGGTGGTAGCCGCGACCCTGCTCTTCTCCCATCTTTGCCGTTGCTCGTCTTCAATGTATTCTTTCGTTTAGCACCGTGAGATCGGTCAATTGGAAAAATGCACTTCGACGCGTATAGCGAGTCGACGGGATATACGGCGATCGTAGGACAAGATAGCTGTGGTATCGGCCGGGAAGAAAGGTTGGAAGAGAGGGAGTGTGTCGGGGGTTGTGGTGTGGTGGTAGGATGAGATGGTACCTAGGTAGGTATGCGCGGCAATCTTCGTCATTGAAGATCTAGGTAGAGCATGTTGCCAGTAATGGCCCTTTTTCGCTTCTTCAGAATCTAACGTTTCGACGGGTAGATGGGGAGTGGAAGGCATGAAAGCAGATCTAGCGACTACATCAAGATGAAAAAATGCAGAGTTGGTGACTTGACGTCGATGTAGCCTCCAGGGCGTTCAGGTCTTTCCTAGGGTGACGTGGGAGTAAGTTTGTCGATATTGTAGTACGATGAAGACTACAATGTGTATCTAGGTATCTTGCAATGCAATGATACTGTTCAATGGTCACAAGCTTTTACAGATGTAGTTCCTGCTAGGTAATCTAGTACAGCTGCCGACCCTAAACCGGCTATTGATTGCCTAGCGCAGCACAACCATCTATCACTAATCCGTGAAGCGACCGAATACGGGAGGCAAAGTGTCTTGGTGGAGTCGCGCGCCGAATGTTGCAGCACTAACGAGTCTTCTAAAGAACACGAAGGACCGATGGAAGGTGAGGTTGTGCCGAGGTTGAGCCTACTGTATCCTCACTTTTTCAAACAAGATCCTTTGATAGTTGGCATTTGACATTTGGTTGATGGGATGCCGTGTAACCTGTCATGTTGGAAATGAATGCACTGTCTCGTGCAATGTTGTGCGCAGGACCAACATCTTGGGTTACACAAAATGTTTACCTGCAACACCTGGGCAATGCACTCCCCAGGAAGATGACAGCGTAAGGCCCGGTAGATCGACAACACCTGCATACCTTAATAAAGCCAACAATGCCGCGCCGAACATTCCGATGCCACAAATACGAAGTCCGCGCGAAGCCATCAGAAAAAAAGGGTGTGCATGAAGTCGCAGTCCTGACGCAGGGCAAGCACGCCGTCTCTGAACGGTGTCGCAAGGCTGAGCGACCTTTTTGGCGTGGACTGTGAACACCGTATTTAGAATTTTAGATTCTTCCGCTTGCAACATCGACCTCGGGACCTTTCCCCCGTGCAACAGACCAACAGACCACCAGGCACGTCATCCGCATCCGCATAGCTCAAACACCACCATCCGCCGTGATACGAAGCGCTCATTACCGACTATTGGTCGATCCCAGCGCCTTCGCTGTCATGGAAGCGAGGTAGACACGGGATATTAATCATGTTATTGCTGTGTGGAATAGGAGCCGCGGAGGAGACAATGACGGGACGGTGTGGTTCAACATGCGACGCTCTGAAGCGAGACATGGCAATTGGGTACAAAGCGCATACGTCCTACGACACCTGTTTAATACAGCAATATAAGAGACGGATATCCGCAGGGTTGGTGGGAGACAGCGAACAGTTGTAGCGCACGAGGGCGCGGAAAAGCCGGTTTTCTGGCTTGAATCATGCGAGCGACGGTCGCAATGGGCGCGGCGATCGCTCGTATCGCATCGCATCGCAGAGCGGCAGGTAGGCAGGTAGAGTAGGTCACTCCTGCGCAGCAACAGTCGCAGTCGGTGTTCACTCTGCGGGCGCCAACAGCTTCAGACTGCGTCTTGCATACCAAACTTCCCACCCACAATCAAAGACCGCGTTAGTTTCACTCTGCCTCAGCCACAAACATCGCCGCATCGCATGGGTGATCGCCGGCCCTGGTACCACCTCGCATCGCAACCTTTTTTGCCTGGCGCACGCTGATACGAGGGCGAGGGCGGCCGCTTGGGCCTAGTGCAAGGAACGTCGCTCAAGTGCTCCAGGGCTGGTATGTGCATGGGTTGATGGTATTTCCCGATGACCTCACCGTGACCCGCCCAGCCTCTCGGTAACTAAACGAACGGACTGCGAGCAACCGAGGGGGGCGTGATGCGTTGTGGAGACTGTAGTTTAATTGGATCGAATGGGGTAAAGTTTGCTTGGGTGGGTGCTTCGTTCGGTGTATATCCAGGATGAGCGAGACTGGGGCGTGCAAACGGGCGTGCGATCATCGTGCAGTGTCTTTCCCTTGTCTTGTGTCTTTGAGTTTGTCGGCTGGCACCTGCTTGCTTTCTACACTCTCGATTCTTTCGGGACTTTTTGCTCGCTTCGCTTCTCTCACCTTCACCCTTCTCCACTATCGTCGGAGCTGGAAAAACGATCTCGACACCGACTGCAAGGATCGAAGAGAGGTTTTCAGGTACCGCCTTTGAGCCGAACAAGGGACCCATCTGGTGAACGCGCATTATGCCTACGCTTATGTGGTTGCGCGCTGCTGCTGTTGTTGCTCTTGCGACACACGCTATTGCTCAGAAATGCTGTAAGACCTACTTGACCTCATCGCCGAGCAACAACTAATCGAACAGACTACCCCAATGGCGAAGAGGCGGCAAAATCAGAAAAGCCCTGCTCGTCAGTAGAGGGTTCTGCTTGCTGTCCTGATACCTGGGAATGCTTGGACAATGGTCTCTGCCATTTACCGGCCGGCAACCTGTACGGCAGATACAGCTGTACGGACAAGGACTGGAAAGCAGAAGGCTGTGCCTCGAACATGTGCACAATCAGTAACGGCGGTAAGTACCTCGAATTCTCCAATTGATCATTGCTAAGTTCCAGCAGATGTGAAAGCTGTTGGAGGCGAGTCGATCACACAATGCAAGGACCACGATGACCAGTGGTGCTGCAACGCAGACGCCGTAAACGTAAATTGCTGCAAGGAATCACCATCGCCACGACCCTTCTTCGCGCTGCAGGATGGAAAGGCGTATGCGACCATTGGCCAAAATCAAGCTTCGACTGCTCCTAACCTTGCGACTATCACTGGTCTGGCGCAGAGCGGCGGTGGATCAGGAGGAGGAAACCAAGCATCGAAGACGACAGCAGGAGGGTCTTCAGGTTCTCCCTCTACCGACGCTCCCAACTCCGGTTCAGCGACTGCAACGGCCGATGACGCCGCGACCACGCCCTTCAGTTCTGTCATCCAAAGCCTCTCCACAAGCGCCGGCGGCGGCGTCGTCACAATCCAAAACACCGTCCTCGTAACCCCCACCCCAACCGCCGGCTCCAGCAACGCCAACAACGACTCCTCATCCTCCGGCAGCTCAAAATCCAACCTCGGCCTCATAATCGGCTGCGCAGTCGGCATCCCCCTCGCCCTCGCCCTCGTCGGCATAATCTTCTGGCTCCTCCGCAAGCGCCGCCAACAAAAAGCCAACCCCTACCACGACCCATCCTCTGAAGTCGAAGGCGACAGCCCTCTTGTTGGTGGTGGTGCTGCTGGAAAACTCAACAAGAGCAAGAAGGAAACATACCGCAATTCCCGGCCCGCGACCGCGGAAATCGACGGGAACCCAATTGGCGCGGGGCGCGCAAATCGCGTGTCTGAATTACCGTCTGGAAACGGATTTCAACCGGGTCATCAGGGCACGCCTTACGGACCCGACGCCGTTGGAATCGGAGGCGGAAACGGCGATCCGAATAGGACGACTTGGGATACCATTCCGCCGCAATATTCACCTGCGAGTAATCAGGCTGCGTTTGCTGCGCATGCGCATCCTGAGGCTATGGAGCTGGCGGATACGAGTGTGAATCCGGTGTTGAATGAGAAGGGCCAGCCGTATCAGGCGTATAGGCCGCCGCAGCCTGTGGCGGAGCTGCCGAGTGTGACGACGCCGCCGGAGGATGTGGAGAAGCAGATGCATCATCGGTAGAGTGTGGGGATGAGCATGGATATTGGTCGGGGGCGTTCTGGGAGTATAAACAAAGGCATGGGATATGGGGCATTTCGGTCTTCTTTTTCGTTCTTGAAGCAAAATATAGGGATGATACCATGCACGGATTTCTTCGTGTGTAATGAGTACGGTTTTCTTGAGAAGGAAGGTAGAGGGAGATGGGGAGGGAGATAGTGATCTAATCTTGAAATGCGAGTTTCACGTAACTACCTAGGTATGTTGAATCTCCAAACTTCCGATAGACCTCAATCTTCTATCTTTTCGCGTTTCAGTCGATTATTGTGCAGTGTAACTACGTTGATAACACCACCCATGTAACAATCGTGGATCTTACGCAATATATTTACGCTCAATATACTCAGATATCAACCTCCCTTTTCGGTGAGCTTGATGAGGAAAGGCGGTGTGTGGGGAAAGGGCAACGAGTCATGGGCCGAGGCGGCATGTCGTCAGCCCTTGAGCCCTTGAATCTCGACCCTGAGATGCGAGAGATAAACGTGTCGCATTCGCCATTGTTCCCGATATCTAGACTACAACACCTGTCTGTCTCTTTCTATCTACTCTCATAGCGTTCTCATATATTCAACAACCATGATACACCTACCCGACGAGTTGATCCTCCACATCATCTCCTGTAAGCATCCGTGCCCATCACGCGCATCCCCCACCCAGCCCTGACCCTCCCCAGACCTCGAACCCTCGGAGCTCGTCGCTCTCCAACACGTGTCGCGCCGCTTCCTCAACCTCTCACGCGACAACAACCTCTGGAAGTCGCTATGCTTCACCCACTCGACCGCTGAGCGCCGTCGCCGCCGTCTCGAAATTACAACCGACATCGACCCCCGCCTCGCCGAGCTGATACGCGCCGCCGACACGCTTGCCAACACTTTCGATACCTCTGTACATGATGAGACCGCGCCGAGTGCTGAGTCACAGCAGGAGCGCAACCAGGAGAAGCGGAGGCAGGCGCTGATTGCGAATTGGGACCCCAGTTACCCTGACGAGAAGGTGAATTGGTACCAGGACTTTATACAGCGCCATGCCGAGCAGAAGATTAGCTGGTTCCAGGATGCTGGGACAGAAAAAGACGAGGGGGTCATAAGGAGGGAGGCTACGGGTGCAGGCATTCTATTCGACGATGATGGCTTAGCAAACAAGCTCATCGCCCCCCTCGACGATGGCAGCATCAGCATCTGGGACGTCTCAGCTAGCAGCGACCGACAGGGCAAGATGATAGCGAAGAGCGACATCGGGCTGCTACCAGGCAGAGGCTCAGACCTCGACTACGACACGCGCCTCACCCAAAGCCAAGCCATCATGACAGAAACCGGTGCCGTCGAATGCGTGAGCATCGACAGCAAACTCCACAAAGGCTTCTTCGCCGTCAAAAACGCCCTCAACGAAGTCGATCTCAACACCCTCCAAGTCGTCTCACGAACACCCTATCCCTTCCCCATCACCGCCCTCTCCGAAGCCCACCACCGCACCCCCCTCACAGTCGGCACAAACTGGACGCTGCACCTCCACGACTCGCGCAAACCTCCCACCCCACCTTCCTCCGTCCGCTGCGAGCTCATCGGCGGCCCAACCGACAGCGACTTCTCGCGCCTCGACACCGGCGACTTCGACGGCCACGTCTCGCTCTCCCAGCCCGGTGCGCTGTCCATACTCCACCTACCCACAACGCGCGACTGGGATGGAAACGGCGATATCTGGGTCGCAGGACGCTTCACCAGCATGTTGAACTTTGACCGGAGGTCTTTCCCGAGACTACGCGGTACTGTGCATTCTGGCGCAAGACTGTCGTGTATCACGGCTATACCGCATCCTTTCGTACCACAAGATCTGAGACTGGGCCGACCATATAGCAGTCCGGCATCGTTGCGCGACGCGAAATCTACACCGGGGTATACGTTGATCGCAGCGGGTGAATACAAAGGCAAAGGCTCGCTGGAATTGTATGGCCTCTCGAATGAACCTTCTCGTTCTATCAACTCGAGCGACAGCCGCACGACGCGCAACCAGAAAGCGTATTATCAGAATCGTCAGACGGCTAGTAGTTCCAAGTTATTGGCTGTTGCGCCGCAGGGTACGCGACTCGTTTTCTCGGATGGAGATGGGAATTTGAAGTGGGTGGAAAGGGATGGGAGTACGCCCGTGCGGCAGTTCAACATTAATGATTTCCAGAGGAGTAAAGACGGGGAGACTGTGGCGCAACATCAGCATCACAGTAGTCTTGTTAATGCGACGCCGGATGAGGAAGCGGGGTGGGGGGATATTGTGCAGAAAATCTTGCCTACGACTAATGCCTCCTTGCTTACACCTTACTCTCCGGCTTCTTCTGGGACTGAGTCTCTCGGTCTGAATAACCTTGTTCTGTGGACTGGAGACGGGAAACTGGGTCTGCTGGGCTTTGGCAAGGAACCGCCCATGGCGAGGGATGTTTTTGAGGATGCGCTGGAGAGACAGGGTGATGGGGAGGAGGGAGGGGAGAAGATGAGGGAGCGGCAGTATGGAGTGGAGATGAGGAGGGCGCTTGAACATCAGGCTAGGGAGTTGAGGTGGTTGAGGGGGTATGGACTGTGAATAAGAAGGGTAGAACATTCACTCAGAAAGAGCCTGGTTTGTATCGTGGTTCCTTGGGGGTGCTGGTGCCTGGTAGGTTCCTGGGTGGTACTTGGGGTCTCGCTTCCTTCAAGGTATAAGTACTTCGGCGCCTCCAGTACCTGCTCCTCAACCACCGAAAATGTCAGTCAACGCTTACGCCTCACCCATTGCTCTCGGCGACTCGAAGCGCGCGGACCCAGACAAGCATTCTATCTTGGAATTACCAGGCGAAATCCGCAATCAGATCTACGATTACGTTGTCAAATCTTCGACACCGCTTGAAGTACGATATCACGGAATAGAGCCATGGACTTGCGATCTGGGTCTATATCTCAACGACCAGTCACGCATTCCGACAAGTCTCTTCCTCTCCTGTCGAAAGCTATACCATGAGGTCGCTTCATCTTTCTACGCCAACAATACATTTACCTTGGAACCGGATATCAGACGTTCAACATACCACTCCTACGCTGAGATATCCAGCACCTTAATCACTCGCTTAGGCACTCAAGCCCGATGGCTCGCCAAGATGGAACTTGATGTGAGCTCCCTAGCAGATTACCGATATCGCAGATGTGACGAGGGGCTTGGCTTCGTATTCAACGATTGGACCGAGCTTTTCGATGTTACTACTCTCCTTCGCGCTATCTGGAGTCGAGACTCGCCGGTGCTTGTTTCTTTCACCAGGTCGCCGAATTCCAGTACTTTTGAGTGTGACGCTACGACCGTGGCTGCTATCATCCAGTCCATCTGCCAGGGCCAACTTCAACTCCGTCGTTATGGACAGCAGCTGCGCGCGGTTGCGCTGAAGCGAGATGGATCTGGCGGGATACTCAACTGGGGGACTACTCCGGCTACACCTCAGCCATGGCAATGCCCAGGTCGTTTCCAAGCGAACCCTGATTACCTGACAGACTTCACCGCTGAAGACAACGGATCTCGGCTTAAGCTTATCTCGCAACGTAGCGAACCCTTAACTTTGCTAACACTACCTGAGTCTATTCAGGACCGCATCTATAGCATGGTCGTACATCCCACCGAGGGTACACTCATCGATCTCGACCACGACACGGAATTCGATTGTGGACTCATCCACGTCAACAAACACTTCTACCGCACTTGGCGCGACAAGTTTCTTTTCGAGAACAAATTCGTGTTGACCATGAGTACAAAGCAGCTACAAACGACATTCGACGACTTCAACCATCTCCGGACCTTCCTCCGCAAGACCTACATGCCCAAGTCGACCTACTCAAATGGAGAGCCAGACACCATTACCGCGAGGATCGTCACTCGGGAGAAGGCGCATCCACAGCCCGGTCCGTCGTACGTTCTGAGATTTGAGATGGACAGCGAAGTCTCGCTGGCCGATGTGCGTATCAATGCGTTACCATTCGTAATGGAGACATCAACTACGCAAGCATCAAACACAGTCACATTCCAAATTTGGACAACCCCCGGCACTGAGGGACCAGCAACCATGACTGCGTCTCATACCATGACACTCCACCAGCTGCGACTCAACATCGTACTAGCGATAATGCGCCACGTGTATTCCATCCCAACGTTCCACCGAGACGAACTCCCAGATTTCTGGATCAACGGCTTCGGCGACGTCGTCCCGACTCCTCCTCCCACTACTACCACTACCACTGCCACTAATACCCGTGTACCATGCTCCCCCACCGGACCCTGGCACCCAGCCTCCACACTCATATACAACGCCGACTGGGACGAAGACAACTACTCCATCTCAGAGCTCCATCCCATCGACTACGTCTACCGCAACAACGGCTGGGGATTCCATTCTGGCTGTCGGTATCCATACAGTATCCATTGGCAGCTTTTTCCGTTTTGCAGGAGGACAAAGGAGGTGCTGCCGTATCTTGTGCGGTGTCTGGATGAGGCGGGGTTGCCTGATGACGATGACGGGATTTTTGGACAGTAAGTAATGGTTGTGAGGTTGTGAATTGTGGGTAGGAATGTGCTAATGGAGAATAGGCTAAGGGATACGGTTGTGATGTGTGAGTGCGACTTGGGGTATTGTCCGCGTGAAGAGAGGGATAGACAGTTTTTTGAGAGGGGTTTTTAGGGATCTGGGGAGGAGGGCTGGTGGCTGCGTCGCTGGATTTGGGGCTATGGGTTAAGGCATGACGATAGTCGGCGAATGCATTGCGGGCGGAGACGAAAAATGAGCTTTCAGAAGTAGAGCAGGGGATTACAATTCAGGTATATGGTTGTGGAGCGGGCTGCGAGATTGTGATGTATGCTTACTAACTAGCGTTGTCGCGTCGCGTTCGGGAGCAATCAGCGTCTGCAGTCGTCATTCCTATTGTCGACAAACCTCACATGTCGCAATCACGGAATGTCGCGTCCTGGTGTATTTGATGCATGACATCTTTACTGACGGTGCGCGCGCGCGTATCAGTGCTTAATGCGTTCGTTCAAAGAGACGCTGTTGATGATGGCGTCCAAGCTCTGGACGATGCGGCGTCCCCAAACTTACGAGCTCACGATGAGAAATCTACGTCACCGGCGTCAACCCTGCACTGAAGGCGTTGCAGTGCCTCATTTGATCTTTTATCCTTTCAAACTTCCTACTAATGAAACAGACTCCTTCGGCTCGGTAAAGTGAGGTCGCCACAGCCTTCAGGGCCCTGGCGCCTAGCGTACGTCTGGGTTATGTACACCCAAGCTTTACCTGAAGGTGCGAGAACTACCACCAATTTGACCAACGTCTCCCCAGGTTCCTGGAGATCTCAATCGACTCAGCCTCCAGCAGCGCGATGGACGACCAGATGCTCCTTCCCCCTCTCGCGCGCGGCGACTCGAAGCGCGCTGACCCAAACAAGCTCTCGATCCTCGATCTACCGGGCGAGACTCGAAACCAGATATTTGGCTACTTGCTCAACTTTCACGCCCCACTGGATATATATCACGAGAGAAATCGTTTGGATGAAAATGGTCGGCTGCAAATGCGTCTCGGCTGCGGCGTACGGATTCCCGTAGCCCTGTTCGCATCGTGTCGGACGCTGTATCGCGAAGCAGTTTCCGCCTTCTACTCTGGTAATACCTTTGCCATAGGACTCGACGGCGGCGGTATTCTCTACCCTATACCATTCAGCCGTGGTTATAACTTTCCCATGGGATCCAACAGCTACTACTCTCCGAGTACCGCAGCCCCACATCGCGTTCCCATCGAATTGCCTGGCGCTTTCTTCGCACATCTTGGTACGCAAGCGTGCTGGCTTAAGAAGATTGTGCTTGACCTCATGGATCTTCCGAACGCAAGCTTTTACAAAGGTAGTTCGCTCAGGTCGCTTCCCGAAAATATTGCTCATGACGATGGGCTCGCATTATTCAAAATCACGCCTGTCCTACGCGCTATTTGGAGTATAGGACGAGATATCGACTTCTCCTTTACCCACAGCAAGTGTTTGCCAATCCTAGGCCCCTCGGGTTTGGCATGCAACGCCGCAGCCATGAGCGCTATGGTTCGCTCTATTCTAGAAGGTCAGCTACGATTACGAACATACGGTCGGCTGCCATGTGTGGTAGCCCTGGACCGGAATGGCGCTGGAGGTATAGTCGGTTGGGGCACCACTAACCCCATATCGTCAGACGCGTCTCCCTCACGTGGACAAATCCGCGCCGACATGTATTTCGTTTCTAGTTTCATCGCCAAGGATGGTGGCCATCGACTGGAAATGGGCAAGCGAGAGAAGCCGCTGAAACTGCTAGACTTCCCCCGGCCCCTTCTCGATCGTATCCTCAATATGGTCGTGCACCCTAGTGAAGGCTATCGAGTCAACCTGGGCAAAGACAACAAAATCAACTGTGGTCTCATTCACGTCAATCGGAAACTTCATAAGCGGTGGCGCGATGAAGTACTCTTCCGGGACAACCGCTTCGAGTTAGTCTTGACGACAGACTGCACGCGTACCGACTTCGATCAGTTCAAGCATTTGCGAAGATCTCTTAGGAAGACGTATGATACTCGTACCACCTACGTCGAAACGCGGACTCTTATTGTCGGCGGATATCTCAAAAACAAGATGCGGTATACTCTCAAGTTCGAAGCAAATGATCCCATCTCACTAAGCGAAGTCCGCATCAGCATCCTCCCCCTGGTCATGGAGACGTCTACTACTCGTGGAGACGACACAATCACAGTCGAAGTCTGGGCTGGGAACAGCGAGGGAACATTCAGCCTAGCCAGTTCACATACCTTGACAATCCACGAGCTGCGCGTAAACATCGCTACCGTCATGATGAAGAACTTTTATCTGACAGGAAACAAACTCGTACCAGACTTCTGGATCAACGGATTCGGAGATGTAGTGCAAGTCGAGGACGCCGATGAGAAGATGCCTGTCTCGGGCGGGGCTTGGGAGCCGGCTTCGGAGTTCACTGACATCGACGACCACGGATTCAAAGTACTAAGACTACATCCTATCGACATTAATTACCGAGGTAAAGAGACACCATCGAGGCCTGTTGTTCACTTTGTAAAATCTCAATTCTTTCCCTTCCGGAGGGAGGTTAAGGAAATTCTACCGTACCTCATCAAGGCCGTTGAAACGACGGGAGGGCCGTGTAGGGACATGTTCAGTCGGTGAGTGTTTACTTGCACACAATCGTATTTTTCGTTTACTGATGCGTTTTCAGGTTGATGATGACGCAACCATTGCATTACAAGGAGCTCAAGGAGCTCAATACGGACTACGGAAGTGACGATATGGACACTGTAGAGTAAGCTTCGAAGCTTACGGCTGAGTAAAGAGATGTTTTAGAGTATGTAGATGTCAGTTCTGTAGCGTGCGACAGAGTATTGTTTTCAAGCCTTCCGAGCTTAAGGCGATCCATAGTGGTTTGGGCCGCGACTAGGTGCACCGCGGTATGCGGACTCGGAAACACGGCGTTCGACAAATACAAAGCGACAGAAATAATACAAATGATCTCGATACTTGCACATTTTTGCGGCCATCGCAATATGGGTTGCGTCATCCTTGTAACATGCGTCATTGCGTTGGTGCCACTCTTCGACCATGGTGCTATGACTCCGCATCTGTCATGCACAGCACGACCTTTCCATCCACTGCGCTCAACGACACTTAAAGTTATAGTACGCCGTCGCATACTAGCAGGACTAGAGGTAAGTGACTTTGATGCAAGACGTCTTCGATCGAAGTAGTGGGTCCATTCCATCGCGCTCGAAATGGAAGATAGGTGCGTCAGGTCGCATCGCTAGTAGATGATGAAGCATGTGCTGAACGTCTGATAGAGTCGTCTTCAATATCGCGACCCATCATCTTTGCGCATTTACACTCGTCAACCGAGGGTATACAGCGCTCGGTCTTATATCTATAAGTTGCAGTTTCACTAACCACAGCCAGGTCTAGGTTGCACCTAATGTTGGTGCCTAGTGTTCTCTCTTGGAGTACTTGAGGTCTATTTTCCTACCTGAAGGACTACTGTCGCCGCCCCAACCACCTTTCGCTCGACTGCCGAAAATGTCAACTCAAGGCTCAACCCAAGGCTCGACTCAAGGCTCAGCTTTAGGCTCACCTCCAGGCTCACCTTCAGGCAAGGCTTACAGAGAGTTTAAGGACCACTATGACGTTTGGTTCCCACCAGCATCCATACTCGCGATGGACAACTTCCACCCTGCCTCACCCCTCAGTCTCGGAGATTCGAAGCGCCGCGATCCAAACAAGTCTTCGATTTTAGATCTACCCGGCGAACTCCGCAATCATATCTTCGGTTATCTGGTTGAGTCTCGCACACTAGTGAGCGTGGGTTTCGTTACTCAACATCGCCCGTCCAACGATATGGACATGCGACTTCGTTTTGTTTCTCGGGTTCACACTCCCGTGGATCTCTTCACGTCGTGCCGAACGCTGTATCGCGAAGCAGGTACCATGCTCTACTCAAACAACACATTTCGACTTTCGCGCCATCTCCCCTTTCCATTTGACCTGCCTAGCTCGTTTGTCGAAGTACCACGAGAATTCTTCAGCCGTCTTGGATCACAAGCGCATTGGCTGCGTAAAATTGTCTTGGACCTAGATCATCTAAAACCCAGGGACTGCTTCAGAGGAGAAGCTCGACTGGACAATGACTTCGAGGAGCAAGAACGGGTGTTCGACGAGAAACTGGAGCTGTTTGAGGTTACTCCTCTTCTCCGGGCTATCTGGCGTCTTCACGCGGACGTGGATGTCTCGTTCACCCAGCCATTTGGTCCTGCTAATTATCAGGGTTGGGAAGTTTTCCGGTGCCACGCTTCCTCGATTACTACCATTATGCGGTCCATTCTACGGGGCCAACTGAAGCTACGGCAGTATGGAAGACTAGTTGCTGCTGTTGGTATAAAGCGAGATGGCTCCGGAGGAATGATCAACTGGGGTACTACAAATTACGATTATCGGGGCGCACATCCGCAACTAGTTAGGATTCTTCCTGGTCCAGAGCACATGTCTACCTTCGTGGCGGAGGACGACGGGTCCCGACTCGAGCTTGTAAAGAGCAATCAGGCTTCTTTACTTGGTGTCCCCAAACGCATACGCCGACTCATCTTCGACACGATCATCAACCCTGTTGATAGCATAGCTATCAACCTCAATGAGGAGACCAAGTTCAACTGCGGGTTGCTGCATACCAATCAGGAAATCTTCGAGACTTGGAGGTCACGTTTCCTGTTCCACAACCGCTTCACCCTGACGGTGGCAACAAGCGACCTCCGCACTACATTCCAGAACTTCGATAAACTGAGACGGTTCCTCCGCAAAACGTTCAAATCAGATTACAGCCGTAAGAAGAGAGCTGATGAGTCGATGAGGACTATTGCGACATCGAACGAATTTTGTTATCGTCCAACCGGCTTACACTACATCCTAAGGTTCGATCTGAATAGCCCAGCCACACTGAGCGATATCCGCATCAACATCCTGCCCTTCGCAATGGAAACCTCGACTACCCCACCCCATCATGAAGTAACGATCCAAATATGGACCCCTACACCCGACGGCTCCTCAGTCATGTCAGCTACCCATACCATGACCCTCACCAAACTACGACTCAACGTCATCAAAGCCATTTTGGACTGCGCATTTGCCGGAAAATCGAACAAATCATACCTACCCGACTTCTGGGCCAACGGCTTCGGAGATATCGTTGAGACCGCCCACGATTCGCATGACGACACGGGTGGAGCCTGGGAGCCTGCCTCCGAGATTGTGCCCGGAATTTACCACCCCGTTGCCGTTCGAACTCTCCATCCTATTGATCGCAACTATCGAGAGTGTGAAGCAGATCTAGGATGTGAATACTATGACGATACGCAGTTCTTCCCTTTTAGGGCTGATAAGAAAGAGATTTTAGTGTATCTTATGAAGAGTATCGAGGACTATCCTAATTATTTCAAGACGTAAGTTTCGATTCCATATGCGTCTTTGATAGTTTTACTAACAGCATGCAGGTTGAAGGCTCCGCCGCTTTCTTGCGCCTGCGAGGATGACTGTCCGCTTAGGAAAGATGACGATGTCGAGTCGAGCATTCTTGACTGGCAGTATCTTGTGTCGCGTTGAATGGCGAATGTAGGGGCAGAACGGGCTTTGCGAAAACGTTTGATGACCTCCTACAGGGAAGAAACACAGCGGGTACCTGTAGTCTACATGAGTCTATAAAACAAGACTTTGCTAATGTTGAACGGCGATGTAGACTTCCAGATACTTCTCGGGATACACATCACCTAGTTTGAATGACTCTTCGATCCCGCCAGCTATGACTCTAAGACGATGACTGTGCGCCTGTGATTCATGGAACTATCATCGGGCTCTCTACATCTCCTGCAACGAATATGAACTTCAGCATGCAGTAACTTCTCACACTGTGTCCAGTGCATGTCATAGCCATGAGTCTGTATGCAACGCTCGGACGATGAGTCGTAGCCACAGGCGTGCACTTCTCTCTACTTCCAAACTTCCTCTATTCATCCTCCAGGTATCTTCTACACAAAATCACACATCATGCACGCTACTGAAACGTCTCGCAATAGTCAGCAGTCGAGACTCGCCGTACCCAAAGCCCCATCCCTCCTCACCCTCCCCGCCGAACTCCGCAACAAGATATACCACCACATCTGCCACCGCCCCTCTCCAATTCGCCTCTATTTCTACCAAGATCCCAAAAGCAACTCGCCTAAACCTGTCGTGCCATATGCATCAAACACCACTATACCCACCGCCTTCTTCTTAACCTCCCGACAAATCAACGCAGAAGCATCATCAGTATTCTACTCCACCAACACTTTCTTGCTCAACCGTACAAGCAAATCCACTACTTTCACGCGCCCGTGTTTCGTCAGCGCGCTCGTCAAATTCTTTGATACTCTGGGTTCGAGAGCCGGGCTCGTGAGAAGTGTTGTGTTTGATACTTTTACCTTCCCAGATAGTGTATTTCTCTATACTTATCTGGACAGAAAGGCGAGGGTCTTTGATACTAGAATGGATGTTGTGGAAATCACGGTGTTACTCCGGGTGGCTTGGAGTCGTGGTCTTGACTTTGAGATTAGGCTTATCGATATGGATGATGTGGGTGTGGAGGGAGAGAAGGCGGAGTATTGGATGGGGAATTTTGAGAAAGAATGCTCTAAGAAGATTATCAGTGTCGTCAATGCACTGCTCGCGGGGCAGTTGGGGCTTAGGGAGAAGAGCGATGCGGTGCGTGCCGTGGCGGTCAAGAAGGATGGTTCTGGAGGCTTGATCTGTTGGATTGACGCTCCGAGTGAAGGTCAGAAGGCTACACTGCCTCGTTGCCATTGCGGCACGATGACCGAGTTCACTGCAAAAAGCGGAGGCAAAGAGTTGGAGCTCGCCACATTTGCCCCTCTCTAGCTTCGCGGGAGTAGCCATCTTTGACGCTTCACTCTACTCGCAGGACCAAGGCTGCAGCATTGCGAGCAACCGTGTGGGAACGCCTATTCTCTTCCCCCTATCTACTAGGGCTCATTGCAACAGTACTCTCGCACAAATTCGAGCTCTCAACCGATCGCATCACCCAATCAACCGATCAGGTCAACTCCTCGATCTCAACGAGAGGTCAACATGCCTCCATATACTATCCCCTCGCCTATAGCCCCAGCAGGCGACTCAAAACCGATAGACCCAAGCAGACACTCTCTCATTAAGCTACCCGCTGAGATTCGAAACAAGATCTATGGATACCTCGTCGAATACCCGGAGCAGATCGTAATCGACCTCGATCTCTCCCCAGCCAGGGACGTCTATAAATTCTATCTTGGCGCAGGATTCGAAATGCCCAGGAACCTGTTTTTGGCATGTCGAACCACATACCTCGAAGCAGCTTCACTGTTCTACGCCAGCAACACCTTCGTTATCGTTCCGGCCAATCTCAAAAACCGTGGTACCATCGAATATCTTCTAGGTGTCTACACTGGATGGCTCCGGAAACTGGGGTCTCAAGTGTACTGGCACCATAAGTTCTCCATCGATCTCTCCCAAGGCGTCTTAGACAGGCGTATAAGCTTCAGATTATACAACCATCAAAGACCCGAGGCTTTCAACATCGGAAACTTAGTTCACTTCGTTTGGGAATATAAGCTTAACATAGACATCACTTTCACCAACACCGTGTCCGCAAACGACCGACGACGTACTTTCGATCCTGCAACAATAACGGCTATCACAAAATCCATTCTCGAGGGTCAGCTCATGATCAAGGCTTCTCGAAACCATATCGGGACAGTCGCGATCGACTATGACGGCACTGGAGGCACATTTGGCTGGAGAAAAGCTATAGACTTTGACTGCTGGCCCCGAGTAATTACACCCGATCACGATCAATACCACAGCTTCATTGCTGAGGACGGTGGACGAAAGCTTGCTCTAGTACGTCACAAACCGGCATTGGTTGGCCCGCAGGGCTCGTAGGAAAGCGAAGCACAAGAGAGGAATGGGGTTTGGCGCATAGTCAAGGGAGGGTGTCAATGGGATAGTGGATCGCGGTACGTAGTCGAATATGTAGCTGTGCTGAGGTAATGAGGATTTGTTCTCTACGGCAGCACAACGATCTATTGATGCGCGCATAGTGCGGAATAGGGATGTGGGTAGGTGACTCTGGTTGAGGAGGAGTGACATGGAATTCAGTTGCGGAGGCTTAGCATTGCCATTAGTATCTTTTCTTGCTTGTACTCCTTCAGATCAGATAGCATTCATTAGTGCGGTTGTAGCTGTCCCCAGAAGCCCGAGCGATTCCGAATGTGAAGGTACACTAGGTACGTAAGGATCGACACTATCTGTGTCTGAAGACCAAGAGCACGATTCATTGATCTGTAAGTCTCAAGGCTACAGTGTGGCGCGATGTTGTATAGCCCAATACATTCCCTTTACCCTAGATGTACTTAAGGGCTCGCAGACTTTGCCTGACTCCTTGCACACACTCTACTCCTCTCAACCACATCGCTTCAGATCAAGGAACGCCATCATCATGGCAATTAAGCATTCAACTGCCCTCAACGCCCTCACTAAGGCTCATCCTAGAGTTCCCTTACCACTATCAGGCGGCGAATCGAAGCCGGCGGATCCCCGCAAATATTCCCTCGTCACCCTACCCGGTGAGCTTCGCAACAAGATCTTCGGGTATCTCGTCGAGTTCTCCGAGCCCGTCAAGGTCACCTTCCGACGACATTTCGAATATAGCTCTGAGCGCATAAGCTTCTCGCTCCAACCAGAACATCAGCGTCAGAGGAGCTTGCTTCTGACATGTCGGACTATTTACTCGGATGTGGCTTCGGCTTTTTATGCCAACAACAAGTTCCTCATAGCTCCGGACTGCTACCAATACTCACAGCGTAGTAAGGCGACTGCGGACGAGATCGCTGTATTATTTTTCCAGCGAGTGGGCTCGCAGGTTCATTGGATCCGTAAAGTTATCCTTGATATTACGAGTAGGCCATGGGTCTTGAACTTGGATAGATGTGCATTCCCGTACACATACGACGTATTTGAGGTCGGCATACTTTTGAGATTCCTCTGGCACCACCGCCTCGCTATCGAGGTCGCTTACTCGATAGCCAAGGGAGCTTCCCTGGATGTATGTAATCCTCTAGCGATGACCCGGGTCATGCGGTGTATTCTCGAAGGCCAAACAATGCTAAAGGCATCTCGCAGTCAGATGCTCGAAATTGCAATCAAATATGACGGCTCCGGTGGTATGTTCCGTCTGGGTAAAGCACTACCTTCTGGCGCACCAAGCCGATCTGCACCCGATCGCGAGCTACAAATCTACAGTTTTGCCGCTGAGGATAGTGGACGGTGCCTTACCTTGACAAAGCCGACACCCCCTACCTTGCTGACCTTACCCGCTCATCCCGTACTATCCAAGATCTTTTCCGAGGTTCTCAGTGAGCGGGAGAAAATCTGCATCGATCTCGATGTGGACACAAGCTTGCCAGTTAACTTCACTCACGCCAACAGGCGGCTCCATGAGACCTGTTGGGCAAGCTTGCTACAAGCCGCATCGTACACATTGCTGCTTCATTCAAAAGAGAAGCGCAGTACGTTCACTAACTTTAGCAAACTCGCTCGCATCCTACGTCGTACATTTACAACTCCCGAGGATCCCGGACAAAAATACCACGGGATATCAAGGCCTTTGCGATGGTCAGCGCCCCATTGGAAGCTCGGGGACTCACAAGAGCTTAGCGTTGTGCTGGAGTTCGACTTAGCAGATCCGACCGCCTTGGAAGACCTGCGCATCAGCGTGCTGCCCTTACTCTTGGAGACATCTTCATATTGGGGTGATCGCACTGTCACGATCCGGTCTTTAACCTCTACACCGGGTGGCCGTTCCCTTTTCGCCGAGCAAACAATCACGTTTCAAGAACTCCGACTGATCGCTTTGAATGCGCTAAATGACACATTCGGTGAGACTGTTGGGTACGCAGCTACTACGCTGTGGATAAACGGGTTGGGCAAGGTCGTCGAGACAGAGTTCAGTCGTTTATCTAGCCCATATCGCATCCAATACGATCCGGCAGAAGCATCCGGGGGAGTCGGCGGTAGGAAATCGCATAAAGTGTCCTCTATTTACCCAAAGAACCAGTACTTCCACGGACAAAAGACCCGACACGACTGCCGATCAAAAGATTGCAAGCAGCTGTTCCCATCTCAGTACTCCGCGGCAACGGTACTAGAGTATCTCGAGGAGATCTTGACCAGATATGACGTTAAGAATAAACCTGATTCGGGCAATGCGTAAGTATACAATATCTTCCACTGATGGAACGAATCAACTGACAGTTGTTAGCAAAAAGGAGAAGTACCTACTGGGACAGCTGTGTCCGGTGGAAATTAAGGGCCTAAGCCGGGAAGACGACGCACTGTGGAAGGCTAGGATAGATCGAGGTTTTCTTACGTTGATGAATACCAAGTGTGGCTACTGAGTGTATCGTTGAGGTATGGGCTGCTCCATTGAGATGAAGATGACGTAGGCGCAAGAAGAACTCTTCGTTGATCATGTACCATTGCGAGATCGGGCAAGATACATGTGTGCCATATACTACCTCATCCAAGAATGAAAGATTAAGTAGGTCTACAGACTACATCAACATGAAAAGATGCGAAGTGGGCGACCTTACGTTAACGTAGACTCCAGGGTGGCCAGTTTTTCCCTTGAATGTGGTGTATCGGATGCCTGTCATCACATTAGCGAGTTCATTCGTACTGCCAGCAGGTCCGACCTTTGCGCACAACTCGTTACGACCACTGGGTGAACATATATAAATATTCTTGAATTTCTCAAACCCGAAGTCTAGCCTCAATCCTTCTTCACGTTCTCATCCTTCGAATCGCTCTTCTTCTCTTCTTCTTTGTCACCAGATCCGCTTCCGCTGCCCTTGTAGTGACTGCCTTCCTTTCCTGGCTCGAAAACCGTATTGCCTCGCAACAACTCAGTATGCATGTCTACAAGATAGGGGCATTGACATACAGGAAGCGCAATGCGCCCAAGCACCGTCTTTCGTCAAATCAGCCCCTGCACCGCACTCTGGACATTCGACCATAGCAAAGCTTTCTAATCGGGTTTCGGAGGATGGGTAACAGATTCGGTTTAGGATGTGGTTGATGATCAATGTTCGGTTGCCATCTTGCGATAGAGTTTCAATGCTGGTTGCGTGCTTGCGCTAAAGTGAGGGGCATGATGTCATCGACCAATGAGATGCAGCGGAGGCTTCTTGTCAAGCTTACGACCATTGGAGTTCTACACCGATGTACTCCTATTCTTGGAGAGAGAATTAGGGATATAGAAGAAGGCCCGAAGTTGGGCTTACATCTTTCCATCAGTAATCTTTCATGCGGTGGCTGACCTGGCGTGTTACAGACATTCGTATAGCCTGAACGCCAGCGGCCCTGCAGCATGCAAGAAGGATGGCGCATATGGGACTCTGGTTCTGCTACCGCATAGTTCGCATAGTTCGCATGCTACCAAAGTTCTGAATGCGATGTGCGAGCCATCAGTTCCCCGGGCTATCGATACGAGTCAGTCTGCATCCAGGTTCTCGTCTTCCGCCGTGTTCCGCCCGTCGTGGCGGCCAATCCTCAACTCCAAGAGTTCCCAACAACCAGAATTCATTCATCCTGCAGTGCTTGCGCAATGCGATCCTTCCGAACTTGTTGACTCGCATTTGGACAGATCATCCTTATGGATGCTGTGCGACTCAGACCCCTATAATGCCGCCAATGACGGCGCTCAGGTGCGAATCCTCAGATCACAAAGAGGCCGCGCCGGACACGGTACGCACGTACTGCCGCTGGACCAGGGCCAGAGTCGATGGTATCGCAGCGATGAAACCGATTAGTTTACCGGAATACATCACCGCGAAGGGAATGAATAGCCCGATGGCTAGATTCTTGAGTATGAGATGTGCATCTTGTCGCGGCTGCAACACAGTAGGCGTAGCAAGCGGCAGCGCAGGTTTTTCGACTTTCCTCTTTCTCTCATCTGATTGCTGGAGTCATTGCGATAGTAGTAATCCGGGGTCGAAACTTGCAACATTCACCGTTGACGTGCATCTACCGCATAAACCTGCTCGCGGAGCTGAACAACTCAGGGGCGAGGCACCCATCAAAAACGAAGCCATTGCTTCAGCAGCGCCAGGTACGTGAATCATGCCACGCGACTACCCGCTTGCGATAGCCTCACTATACCCAGCCGAGCGAGCGCCTAGACCCAGATCGGTCTAGCAGTCGCGTGGTAAACGGCTCATCCGCAACCAACATTTGACGATGGATGCCTGAGGGCCCTGGCCCATCTGCCGTGTCAAAGCAACGGTTCCCTCCCCACTGCATCTGCATTGCGCAAGTTCGTCTCCGCGCTGAAGGACGGAAGGTTTGCTTCGAACTTTATTGTTCCTGCAGGTGGTAGCCTTCACAGGACATATGGCCGGGCGCCTCATCAGTCCACGCTGTCGCATGTCAGAATGGCGGGAAATACGATGCTTGCAGCGGTCCGTATATAGCGTCGATGAGCCGGATCCCGAGGTGCGAAAGTTTAAACTTGTTCAATACCTAGGTACCTCTACAAGCCCAGGGTATCCAGGCTTTTCATTCTTCTTGTTTGCCTGTTCGTCTTCTCGTCTTGTCTATCCGGGGCTTCCGTTCACGACTTGTCCGTCGACGGGTGTGTAGCTTTGGTAGAATCGCAGCATACGAGGATTCCTTGAGTATCTCACGAAGCCCATGACAACTAGTCGCACGTAGCGTGTAAGACAGTTGCAATACCCCAGACTCCTCCGTATCCTCACCTTCTGGTCAAACCCCACGACACGACACCACTCGATGGCCGACCCGATGGCCGCGGTGCCATACTCCAACAAAGCCGCCATCTACCTTGGACCTGTCGTTTCTTTCGGCGTTGTCGCACTCTTCCTGGT